CGTTATGGGCCAAAGTTCCATAGTATAAAAGTATTAACTACGAGGGGTTATCAAAAAGTTCGTGGACTGGCGCCATAAAATTAAAACCGCTTTAGATACATAAATGAATCTTAGAATATCTGGTAAGCATCATCTTTTCTATCTATAAAATAAACCACAAATCATAATTTTATTTTTTAATAAATTAGTAATGTTTTTGTAAACTATGGTATGTCCAGGCGGCGCAACCTCGAATACGACGTTTTTACGACCGCAGTGTAACTGAGAAAAACTCTTTTGATATGAACTTTTGACATCAAAAAATCTCGTTAATTTAGGTATATGTTGGGACACTATTGCTTCATAACATGTGAAATTTTCACCTCATTCTGAAAGTTCTATGAATTTTTTTCCGTAAATTTGACATGGAGTGTCCAAACAAATAAGTACTTGAAAATGACGTCAAAAGGGGGAGGGATTTCATTTTTTGTTGTTTTACGTCCCATTTAAATTTTAAAAGTACAGGCTACATAGTACTTATTTTATAGCCTCAGTCCACGAACTTTTTGATAACTCCTCGTATATTTGATAATGATAAAAATTAATTTGATGAATACTTATTTATGGTAATTTTTGATAGGACTACTTGAACATGCAGTGTTTTCATGGTATTATGACCATGTTAAGAAAATATGCCATGGAGTGTGTAACTAAGTACATTAGAGTTTGAAGTAAGTGTTATGTACGTTATAATGAACTTGTAGGCGAATTGAACATATCGTTAGGTTGTTTTATTTCATATCATATATGCTATATTATTCATTTGGTCATTGCCTCTTTATACGTTTTGAAGATGAAGTACCCCATTTACTTGATAAATGCATAGAGCTCACAACAGGTGTGGTCTTTTGACAGGAAATGCCTACTTCTTCAATGCACCTGGTCCTTCATACGATGTCTTAAGAGGTCCCTGTTGTTGCCCTCGACACAACTCTGATGAAAGCTGCATCGAGGGATGCACTCCAACAGTCTTGCTTCCGATGCTTGATATGACCTATACATTCTAGTTGAGTAAAAGCAGGTTCATGTCAGAATTTTTTTGAGTCTTACATAGATCAAACTAACTCATGTATTTGTTTCATATTTACAATACAGCAGCAGATAACACATAATGCATCGAAAGGTTCTTTTTATGTACATCTGATGTGTATTTTTTTAAAGAAAAGGTTAATTTGTTTTCACCTGGAGGAATGAAATCTTCTTTTTATTGAGATTAATTTAAAAACCAAAATCACATAAAAAAGTTGTCATATATGATAGGTTGTTATCGTAACAGATTCCATTTACATATGTATTACATAACACTATTAAAAAATAAGACATCCTTATTTCATTGTTGAACACTATTATCGTGAATCTGAGATAAAAAAAAACATATTTAAAAAAGCAAGATATTGGTTTTAGTTTGTGAAGTTGAATTGAAAAATAATTTGTACCGATCCCAATATTATAAAGTCAAATTCAAGCACCAATATCGTAAACGTAAGACAAAAAAATCTATAAAAAGTAGGATATTCTTAATATTGATTTTTAGTTTGAGAAAAAAAAACCCAATGTAGTCTATATGAATGAATTTCATTCGCTTTATTCAAAAACAATCATGTCCAATAAACAATCATTTCCTAGTCCAATTGTGCGTTATATAATTAAACTATCCTCAACATAAGGAAATCAAAAGATTAAAATTTCTATAGATAATAATTTTTGACATTTTGCGTGATTTGAATTTTCCCTAAAAATGTTTAAAAGCAAAAAAAAAAAAAAAAAAAAAAAAAAAAATAAAATAAAAATGGTGAGAAGTAAGTGTCCCACAGAGAAAGAAGTCTCGCCTTGTGAAAGTAATTAACACATAACTTCCAAATTAACTAATGTTATCTTGTAAATCTATCCAATACCCAGTGAACACCATTTTTACTGTGGTAATTATATGGGAAGTAAAATAACTAGTATTTTTATTGACTTTTACTATTTCCAGCGATACAGATTTCCATGTTAAAAAGCTGTAATTTTAAACCAAAATATCCTGTTACATTTTAATTATAATAAAAAGGTATATATAATACTCTCATGAGTAATCGTAGTGGTTGTCGTGCAGGAACAGAAGAAAATATGGTTTTAATAAAAAAAGATTTTGTGGTACTGTGTTTCTTTCTGCACTTTACAACTACATGTTGTATTACTCCGCATTCCCATCTACAAGGTATTTTGAAGTTGTAATTTTTTTTGTAATAAAAAAAAAATATATATGAGTACAAATTCAAAATTTACATATATGTAAAAAATAATATTTTCTGTATAGATAATAATATATATCAATGCTTTGTTTATCAGGAAATGTTGAGGCTCTACTGAACTTAACTCCCTGGAACTGGAAACATCTGAACACATCCGTCAAAGTGGACACCCGAATCTCTGTGGATATTTCTCTTCTGTCTCACTATAGACTTACTGGAAAACATTTCAACAAGTATCAGAGTAAGTACTTATGTTACAAATATAAAAGAAAAGAGCGCCCCCAAAAATAAATCTATAGTGAGAAGTACATGTATATTCAATTTTCATGTAAAAATATCTCCGCGTTCCTTAGAAATAAAATTTAATGAATGGTGCCAAAATATTTTTAGAAGGAACTTATATATACTGTTTGTAGGATTTAAATATATTTTAAAGAATTAAGAAGTAACTGTACACGTAATATGTAATCTTCGAAATTAGAACTCCAAAAGCAAAGAGACTACGCATCAATTCTAAAATTCATACCCAACACAAAAGGGAAAGATGGCGTCTATACTATATACCCTGATCACAGGCACCTGTAGTATGGATAATAACCCCCCCCCTTTTTTTAATGAAAAAAATGTAAGAGTGTATAATATCTCAAAAATATAAAATTTCCCCGTCAAACACACCTATATGTCATTATATGCAAGAAGATTGTACTTTTTCTCACGTTTAAAGAATGGCCTTATTCGGTATAATAAAAATACACAAGGTAAGAAACAAAAGTTGTAAACAAACGGGGAACCCCTACTTCGAGACAGATTACTAAGGTAATAATTAACGTTACCTATCATAATTTTGCAATCACTCTGTCTGGGGGATGTTCTTTGATTAGTCTCTTTAACCTAAACCCCGCTATTAGCGTTTATATGCCGTAATCAGACGATTTATTAATCGGATACATAGAATTTTCTCCATTGGCAGCGTTAAAGGAGGTTTTGGAGCTGCTTTTATTTTTCGCCTTATATGATTGGCTAATTATAATAAAGTTTAAATATCTAACCAATCAGATAAGGCGAAACAGAAAAGCAGCTCCAAAACCTCCTTTAACGCTGCCAATGGAGAAAATTCTATGTATCCGATTAATAAATCGTCCGATTACGGCATATCAAACGCTAATAGCGGGGTTTAGGTTAAAGAGAATAGGAAAAGAACATCTCCCAAACAGAGTCCTTGCAAAATTATGATAGGTAACACAAATTATTACCATGGTAATCTGTCTTGAAGCAGGGGTTCCCCATTTGTTTACAACTTTTGTTTCTTACCTTGTGTATTTTTATTATACCGAATAAGGCCATTCTTTAAACGTGAGGAAAAAGTACAATCTGCATGCATATAACGACATATAATGTGTTTGACGGGAAATTTTATATTTTTCGAGATATTATACACTTACATTTTTTTTCATAAAAAAGGGGGGGGGGTATTATCCATACTTCAGGTGCCTGTGCCCTGATATGAAGACAAAGAAACTGGTGTACTGTGACATGACTACCGAAGGAGGGGGTTGGACGGTAAGAAATTTCATGATTTTCTATTTTAACTACACGTATAATTAAATTTTTATAATTCATTTATTTTAAGTAAATTATATTTTCTTTTGGGGAAGATATGTTTCCTGTATTTTGTATAGTTAAAATTGTAATATCGACTTTAAGTTAGGATCTCTTTTTTTCTGTAGATTTTTGACCTCCCCCTCCATGATTTTTATATATGCTGATATAATACATTTTCATTATACATGTACAGATGTAGGTTATCAATAGGCGGATGGACGGATCAGTAGAGTTTTATAGATCCTGGGATTCGTACAAAGAAGGATTCGGTAATGTGGAGGGGGAATATTGGTTAGGTAAGATATAAATTGATTGTTCATCATATCAATTATATGGATCCCCCAATAAAGTTCATAGATAAATTAAATTACGTATCCTAATACATGTAGATCCATTGAGTTACATGCATTTAACAATTTAAAACCCATTTTGAACTAGCAAAATTAGATATTTCGAAGAAATTCCATGTATGCATGTATACTGGTTTCAAACTGTGATTTCTTTTTTGAAAAATGGTATGGTTTATTTTGCAAACCTTTAAAACAAGTCTTAATAAAGTATCCTCAGTTAGTTTAGTTTTAAGTCTGTTCAAATCCTGAAGCCCGGGGGTAGTATTTGGCAAACATTTTGCAACCACTGTTGATAAATGATTTTAAAATCTAATTGAAATTCTTGGCCAAATTATTCAAGTATAACCTGGTTATGTCGGTTTATTCAACATCTATACTCTCAATAAATTCATTTATGATTAAACGTCATTAAGTTTTACAAGCTGCAATATTCATTTATTGTTTTACTCCCCCCCCCCCCCACCCCCACACCCACTCCCAAAATCTTTTTTTTAAATTTGGTTTGCTTGTTTTCACATCTTTATTACTTAAGGGAGGACCTATGTCGTTCCACGTTAGAGCAGCGTTATTTGACATCACAATAGCGACGTTTCTTTCATACCTGCTGGCTTTTGCTAAGTTCTGTGATTTAGGCCTAACATTGTAAATAGTCAATAACATACACAATTTCAAAAAGAAAATTTATTCATTACTAATAATTGTTATATAGTTTTTTGTTAATTTATGGAGTTTGTTTATATAAGAATTTTCGTTGGTTGATGGTTCATAGCAATTTCAGTAGTGAAAAGAGA